CTGTCTTCTTAAGATCAAAGAGGTGACACTGGCCTGGCTGGCTGGTGGCACAACAGGGATCTCAGGGAAGTGAGGAGGGGGGATGCTCACTGGGTGGGAGGCAGAGGCACCCACAGAACCTCCAAAAGGCTCAGCTGCTGGCCTGGGTGGGAGTGTAGAGGTGCAGGGGAAAGAGCATTCAGAGTCTCTCAACAAACCCTCTTCCACCTCTCACAGCTCCTGCTAAAATTAGTCAGAGGGGTGTAGAGAGCACCTCTGAGAGAAAAAAGCAGCTTTTCCTTTTCTTGGTAAGGTCACCAGAGATCTCTGTCATGCAAAGGCAGCACAAACCTTCTGCTCTGCGTTCTCCTCAGCGCAGTAGCTCAGCCTTCCCTCAAAACCTCCAGCACTACCTCCAAGGCCTGAACACTCCAACAAAGATATCTTCCCTCCTTTGTCTGCTCTGATTTTTCAAATGCCACTTCAGATTCCTGTTTCATCAAATGCAAATAACATGAATATGCCTTTTTCTACCCTGAAGAATATAAGTCACAGAGAAGCATTTTCACAGCAACCCAAATTTAATCTCCTTTTTTCCCCCCATGATTATACAAACTGATCTCCAGTCTCATCTGCTCAACTGTCACATCCTCCCATCCCACTGCTGCTCTAATTGCACACTGCTGAGCCCCCTCGATTGTTCCAGTACCTCTTGGTGATGGCAAGAATTCTCCCCTCTGCAAAGTGGCGTCACAGCCTTTCATTTCTGCTTTTGATTCTTCTCTGAAAACGAGGTGAGGAAAGCACTGGCTTCTTTCTGAGATCCTGATGTTGCACCACAATCTCTTACTGAGTCTTCCCTCACCCCAGCGGATTCTTTGTTTGGTATTTTTAACTCTAAACTTTCCAAGCAGCCACCTCCTGTTAGGTATTTGTTCCAGCTGTCAGTTCTACTTTGGATCTACATCTTTACCACACTGCTGAGGATAACAAGATGTTCTTACTCTTTCTGAACACCAGGCAGTCTTCATCCCCACCTAATGCTGGTTCTTTGGCTCTTTGATTCACCTCAGCTGAAAGATGTATCAGGAAAAGACTCAGCCTCCTCAAATCCACAAACAAAAAATACACAAAAGGTCTGGGTTCCAACTGCTGCAGAACACAAGACACACTCCTCCTCTGCAACTGGAGCTGGCTCTGCACAGGGACACACGTTAATTTGTTTAGAACTTGGTGGGCTTGGGGTATTTTGAGGGGTCAGGGGTTTATTCAGACCAAGGTTTTTCTCTTCCACTGCACTTCTCTCTGTGGCATTGTATCAAATGTTTTAAATGAACTGCTGCATGCCACAGCTACCACACTGCTCTTACCCAGCAGGACAGACACGGTGATAGGGAACACCACTGGCTCTCCAGGGTATCAGACAGTAAATGCACTTTCTCCCTGTTCCCAGTGAAATCAGGTACAGTGCCATAACTCAATACATTCAAGCAGGTCTCAAAAGAGAAGGAGCCTCATCAAATGATGCCTTATCTGACCTAGAAGCCGTCCCTGGGCACTCTTGCAGCCCTGCTGCTGGACCAGGGCACAGCAGCAGATGTCACTACCTTGGCTGATCCCATTCCCAGTCTTCCATCTCAGCTTAAAGTCTCCCCTAATGCCCTAAAGACATAAGATGTGCAGCTTTCTGCTGCTGTACCTCAGTAGTTGTTCCCTCAATATTTAATCTTGTAAGCTGTTAATGCATGGATCTGTGCTAAGCAGCAGAGTTCAGCTTTTTCTGTACTCAGAATTTGCTTCCTTCTTGTTTGAACGTGGCAAAGGCCATTCATTTACTTCTCAGACCTCAACTCAAGCCAAAATTCATTCCATTTTGACCCAGTGAGAGTCCAGGTGGTTTTCTTCCTTTCCTTAAAACATGCAACAGAATTTTTTGGCCAGTCAGCCTTTATTGCATTTCTTTTCGTTTTTATTTATTCATTGCAGCCTTAGTTGGATTTGTTTTTCACTAAACAAAAATAAATAAAAGCCCGGAGGCAGCGCAGCCTCGTCTCCGGAGATGCTGGCAGCTGCCCTGGCCACCTCCATGCCAGCGCTGTGCCAACTGCGGCGCGGGGCATGCGGCCACCGCCAGGACATGGCAGGGAGCTGCCAAACCGGCATCTCCCCCAGGCCTAACCCTGCCCGAGCTGATGGGGCCTTTCAGCCAGGGACTGCTGCCTCCTCCCTCAGCTCTCAGAGAGATATGACACTCTGCTCCTGACCGGTGCGTGACTGGGATGTTCAAAGCCAGCCTAGAGGGAATACGTATCGCTCCATGTGAAGCGGTCCGTGAAGCATCCCCAGCTTTTCGGGACTAGAGCAGAGAAGTGCAAAGGCAAAGCTTTGTTGGATACAAATCTCACACAGCCCTTTGGGGTCTCAGCTCCACCCATGCCAGGAAGCCTTTTTTCAGGGATATCCTTTAAGAAAGAAGTAATTTAAACTCCCAAAAGCAAGTCATCCTACAGGATCTATTTTCTGAGCAGTGTGGGAAGGTATACCGGCCTGCACAACCATTTATTAGCACAAATAGGAGTGTATGTTTAACTCTGTGGAACGGGTAGAACAAAGAATTATTAAATAAAATTCTGATTAGTTCAGCTGAAAGCAAAATACCAGCTGGAGCCTGGTGTAGCGCAGGCATGTTATCAGCAAACATGTGCTGCCAGCGCATCTGCACACACACACCCCCCTCAGCTCTGACCATGGGGAGCCTCAGCCTGGAACAGCAGAGCCACAGCACTTCCATTGTGCTCTGTGCTCTGACAGCTCCAGTCCTGCCCCGAGCCTTTGGCCCTACAGGGCTGCACAATGGGAATGAGAGTGATGAAACCTGAGTTTTCCCACTTACCCTACCAGCAGCCATGCTTTGTTAGCGTTCCGAGCGGGAAAACAGCCACTCAGCACAGCTATCACAGAGTCCCACTGCCTGGAATCACATGTCGGGCACATGGCCCTCCCTCCCACCAGCCAGCCTAAATACAGCCATATTCATTAACAGCCCGTCGTTTGGATCCTGGTGCAAAAGTTAATGAAGCCACTTTGCTAAGAGGGCAGCCTCCCCAGCACAAGATAAATAATGGATAGAAAAGCAGGCTGGGAGGGAACTGGCGCATCCCTGCAAGGTCATGCTGGAATGCATCAGTGGCTCACTGAGACTGGGCTCCTCCGGTAAGAAGCCTGGAGCTATTTATGACTCATGTAATTAATTAATGCCAACGGGCGTTCTGCTGCAGGCACGTGGGAGACCAAAGGGAAATACAAAACGGGCAGGTTAGGAAATGTAGTGGAGGTGGGAGAGAAGGATGACATTTCTTGTGGCAAGAAATGCTTTGAAGTAATTACCAACAGTTCAAACAGCCAGTAGTTCTTTTGGCTAGGTCAGTACAAAATCAATTAGGACCTTTAAAAATGCATTGGGCTGATATTTCCAAGAGCATCAAGAGTAAGAAGCAGCCTCGGAAGGAGAGCAGTTGCATTTCAAAGCACCGTGCACTGTAAGACCCTTCCCCAGATCCTCAGACCCCACAAACTGTGTGACCAGCAGAGGGAGCATCGTTAATACCCAATCACAAACAGTTTGAGATGGGAGCACAGAGGAAGACCCAGTTTGATTTTATGTGTCTCTAAAGCCTGAGGACAAGTTTAACAGAAGCAGGAGAAAGGAGCTAAGCTGAAAGTGGAGAAAGCAAAATCCTGCAGGCACTCAGGGCTCCTGACACACATCTCTCCCTTCCAGAGCCAGCTCTCCCAACACTGGGAGCTATCCAAAACTGTAGATCACGATCACGTCAAGAAAGGGACCAGGGCTGTGGCTTCCCTGCTCCACCTTGCAATACTGCAGTCTCACACTGCACACTCAACATGTGGTGACGCTGAGTCATGACACCGTGCTCACACAGACCGTTTGAGGACAATGAGAGCTTAACCTAATTTTGTCCCTTTGTTTGTCCTCTGCACACAGATCAATCAGTTCCACTCCCTGCCTTCACATCCCCCAACATCAACTGCTTGACACATTATAAGACTGTAAATACAAATAAAGCACACTCTTCCCCTCCTCTGGGAGGGCTCTCAAGTCCTTCTGGGTTGTCCAGCTCCCACTCAGCCTGCATGTATCTTCATTGCCAGAGTATCTTCTTACCGTTCCCAAATGTATCCATGCATTGTCATCGCTCCCTCTTATCAGAGCTGCCTGCAAACAAATCCTCTCACACAATGAGGATTGCAAATTTGCTTACAAGCTGGTGCTGTTTTCCATTTCTGCTCCTCTGTGCATCTCTTTTCTCTCTGGACACTTGCAGGGGTCAAGCACCACAGCATCAGTCTGCAACAGCCATCTGGATGAGCAGCAGAGGCTGCCTGCAGTCCCAACCCTGGTTGGCAAAGCCTAGGAATCTGCAGCATGCTCCACTTTGAGCCTTACCCGACCTCCACAGTCTGGGGGATTGTGTTTTCTAACCTCTGATCACTGCCAAAGCCCTCAGATCCTCGTGGGACCCCCTACCACTACCCAGTATTCTTCTGGAGCAAATCAATAGCAGAGATTAAAACCAAGAAGAAAAGAGTAAGTGAACTGAGAGCAGGGTTTAGTTTCATAAATATATATGAGTAGAACAAGAGCAACGAACTGCTTCTTTCTGGTGGGCTGAGAATCAACTCGAGCCTGAGTCTCCAGGGTAAAACAGGAGCGAAGTAAACGACAACATGAACACCCACTTAGCATTCGTGCTTCATATTCCTGCTCTGAGCCTCAGCAGCTTAAGGAATGCTCCTGTTAAATACTGTAATGCTCCCAATTACGAGTGATCTGGACTGTTTATTTTCTAAACAGATTCCCTCCTCCCCCCCACCCCCCCTCCAAGCCCCAGGAGATCCCATAAGCCTAAGACAAAAGCAGTCTAGAAGAGGTGTTTCGACCTCTTTTGGCTATACAATATCCATAGCTGGCTCCATTTCCCTAATTGTTTCATACTGACCTTGAGAATATTTTGGCCATTAAATGACTCCCGCTCCTTGAAAGATGATTTACCAGTCATTGTGTTGTTTCGTTCTTCAGCTGTAGAGAGAAAAACCACCACCAGAATGAGCTTCAGATGGGAGAACTCTGTGTGCTGTACTTCACCCTCCTCTCTGTCCCTCCCCAAAGTCAGCTGCCAGCTAATAAACCATCTTTGCCCAGTTCTCAGTGCAAAAAAACCCACTTCCACTTGGATTTTAGGAGGAACAGGGCTGCAACTGGTGCCTCTATTGGGATCACCTGTTACCTGGAGCAAAGGCCCTAAATCACAGCTACTGCTGTGGTGATTCTGTGGGGCTGACTGCTCAGTGCAACACACCTGCTTCTCTCTGGCTCGTTCTCATCCCACATCCTGCCATGTCAGGGTGTGAGACAGCACTTGCATGGCCTGGAACAGAACCAGATTCCAGGCTGAGCATGCCAGAACAATGCCAGGCGGGATGTGGCCCGCACTGAGACAAACCTCTGCTGCCTGCACCATATGTGTGCTGTGGATGCTTCTGTGGGGTCGGCATGCAGCTACACACACACAGACATTCAGAATAGCAGCCTAGGCCTACAGCAACTTCCACAAGTCTATGTCTGAGATCCATTTCCCAGAGCATGGCTGGGTTTTTATATAATCCCCAAGTACATGATCTGTTCCTTCCACAGGACCTCTGCCTCACCCGCTGAATATATTCAGTATTTCTTTTTCATCTCCATCATTAACTATGAAGTCCTCCTCACATCCAGCTTGCTGTTCAAATCCTGTATGGAATACAAAGCGACTTCTATGGCTGTCTGCGGAATGCTGGCGGAATGCTCTCCCCATTGTGTCTGAATGCCTCTCATGCCTCATGGGGTTGTGCAGAATATAGACTCAGGATGCCAGACCTAGCTGCCCATGTGCCTCCCCTCACACAGAGCCACATCAGCATTCTGGGGTCACATTTTCAGGGCTCAATTTGAGAGCTCCATCTTTACAGGGTTTTTACGCCCTGGGTGTGCTTGTTTGACTTCAGCAGCAGTCAGACCCAAAACCTGCCCAGAAAACAATGACACAAATCACCTGCTGTTACACTGTCCCCACAGAGATTCAGAGAGGCAACAACTAAAGAATTCTTGACACAACCTATTGCAGTGCACAGGGCCCACTGTGCCAGAGCATGCACATGGAGAACCAGGCTGTAACTCACTGCCCCTCCCCAAGGATGATGCTTTTAGGGCTGCTTTATTAAGCAATGTGATCAGGATGCTACAGACAGCCAGAGCAGACAATCTTTTGGCAGAGACAGCAGACGCCATACACTCAAGAATAGCTCACATTCGGCTTCGCATAACATTCATCTGTCTGCAGCTGATTTAAGGAGAAAGACAATGGAATCACTTTCCTAAAGAAATGAGCAATGCCTAAGTTAACCAAAGAGGATTATGTTTTCATCTTGTTTGAAGGTCAGCACAACACATGGAGTTGTTACCCAGTTTCAATTTAACACCAGGACACAGAGAGGCCAAGATCTCACCTCCATGAGGAGTGGCTGAGGTCATTTGCTCTGTTCAGCCTGAAGGAGACTGAGGGGAGACCTCATCAGGATCTGCAGCTTCCTCACAAAGGGCAGTGCAGGAGCAGCTCTGCTTTCTGCTCTCTGTGACCAGAGGCATTGCTGGAGCAGTGCCAGGGGAGGCTGAATACTGGGAAAAGGTTCTTCACTCAGAGAGAACACTGAACAGCCTCCTGAGGAAATGGTCAGAGCTCCAGAGCTGCCAGAGCTCCAGAGGTGTTTCAACAACACTCTCAGACACAGGGTGGGATTGTTGGGGTGTCCTGGGCAGGGCCAGGAGCTGGACTGGATGATCCTTGCAAGTCCCTTCCTACTCAGGACATTCTACAATTCTACTTGAACATATTTTTCCCTAGCCCATTACTATGAGTGCTACAGGGTGCCAAGGTTTTTAACCTATGACTCTTGTTCATTGCTTTATTTTCTTCTGGGTTTTATCTGCAGACATCTCCCCCCAGCCCTGCTGGTAAGAAAAAACACACTAAAAAAAGCAAACAAAAGCATCTGCTGAGCAACGGGACTACTCTAAATGCATTTAGCAGCAAGGATGAAGGCTCTGTACGTACTTGGATCTTTCCTGAAGAGTGTGTTCATGACTGTGGCATGAAGTTTCACCCTGTCCCATTCTTTAAGCATCAGGCCTGAGGCCACAAACCGTTCCACCAGCTGATCAGCAACCATCTGCAACCTGGGAACCAAAGAGAAAGAGCAGGGCTACATAAAACAAGGAGCCTCTGCAGCATCAGCTTTTGGCTTTTCAGCCAGGTGGGCAGCAAGTGTGAAATGAAGTCTCTGCATGCACACAGGAAAGGGAGCTAGTCCCATTGATGGAAAGCGAGCAGAGGCATCAGCATTCAGCCCTAATGCAAAAAGTTCTGACTGTTGCACAGAGCTTCCCTGTGATCGCTTCTGCTGCAAATATTCCACAAGGAAGGGCAGATTTAGCACAGCAGAAAGCTTGCTCACAGTGACAGATGTTACTGGGAGCTCAAAGATGCATCTTTCTACTGCCAGGAAACACAATGTGACTCTCCTTGCAAATGCTAAAATCTGCACACCCGCAGGGGCTTGGGCACCTTGACTCCCAGAGGATCTGCTCAGGGACTGCTGCAGCCTGGCTCCTCTCCGTCCCAGATAAACAACCCAGCCTTGGGCTTGCTTTCTGGGAGAGCCCAGAACATGGTGACAGGGGCACAAACCCTGTCAGCACATCCTGGTGAACACTCCGGCTTTGGAGCTACTGAGCAAGCAAAATCCAAGGACTTATTCCCACCTTTGTGTCTGGCCTTGACTGTCAGGATTTGAGGGCAGATCCATCCTAGGACAGGCAGCAGGAGCAGCGATCAGAGAAATGCACTCATGTCTAAGGAGCTGAAGGAACTTCCAAGCTGCTGCTGTGCCCAAACAATTTCTGCAGTGTCTGATTCTTACCAAAGGTAGAGAGAGAGCATATGCCAGAACGAAAACTTCCCATCTCCAAAAATAAGGCCAGAGGGTGTTATGTCTGTGCAGAAGAATCTGAGCTTCTCCCAGCATGTCCCAGGGATTTCTGCTCTGTGAGGTCTCACCATGTTGGTGTCGCAGCTCTGGCAGAGCATGGCCTGTCCCCAGAGCCTGGGGCTGGCATGCTCTGGATGCCAGCTCCGAACCCACTGCTGGTTTTGGGCTGCCAGCCCCCATGTGACCATTGCAAGACTCTCAAACTACCAATTGTCACAGCTTTCTACTATTTTCTGGATTTACTTCAGTGATTTTTAAAATTAGCAATGACAAAGATTAAATGAATATCATTACAGACAATACTAAAACAAATTAACAGAGAATAGCTCAAGTGAAAATGGTGCTTTATTACGTTATAAAGTTAATCAAGGAAATAAAACAAATTAGAATGAATTATAATGGAAATTATTTGCCATGTGGGAGGCATCAGAGCATGATCCCTCTTTCAGTCTGAGCCATTATATGTGCAGAAGGGCTTGCCAACCCCTAATTCTGTCTGCAGTTATGCAAGCTAAGTCAGGATAAATCAAATCTCCTGCTTTACAGCTTAAGCTGATCAAGATCATCCAAAGATCAGGAAGGAACTCCACCCCTCAGCCATGCCAGGAACTACACAGAGCTAACAGGACATCTTGCATGAGACAGGAAGGCACACACCTCTCTCTAGCACAGGCTGCAGCAGTCAGATCCAGCACGGGAAGCCACGTGGCTGCTACTCTCCTCTAGTATTCGCCTTGCAGCTCAGAAAGTGCTTTCCCATCTCCCTAAGCAAGGCACAGCAGGTTTCAGCAGGCAACAGGTTCAAGGAGCTGTTTGGCTGTTCACCTGTGTTACAGCCAGAAACCAAAGCAGGGTTTTCTGGAGAGATCACCATTTGTCCTCTCTTTCTAATCACTGCTGATCCAACACAGTGTCTCCTGGAATCTCAAAGGAAGGAAAAGCTGCTCTCCATCAACACAAAACCATTTTTCCTCTGCAAAGCTAAATGTTTTTCTGGATGCTTGCTAATAGCTAAGGAACTATATAAGAGGAGAAGTGCCAGATGAATGGTATCAGGAGAAGGGGCTTCACCCAGATGGTTGTGGGGCACTGAACAGGGAATTGTCATTGGCCCCAAGGCTGCCAGAGCTCCAGGAGCACTTGGACAACACTCTCAGGGACAGAGTGGTGTTGTTGGGGTGCCCTAGCCAGAGTGAGGAGTTGGACTCGATGATCCTGATGGGCCCCTTCCAATTCAGCCTATTCTATGAATTAATTTGCAGGTGAGGGCAGGATCAGCCTGGGCCAATGATTAAAACTTCAAATTGCTTGGCCCTCTCTGAGCCTGCTGCTATGCAAAAAGCAAAACAGGTGCTAAACAGGTGCTGTGCAAGAGAAGCCTGGCAGTTTCCAGGTGCCATGCAAAGCATAAGGTGTGACTTTGGCCAAAACCTCAGCTAACAGATCTCTGTGAAGGACAGTGGCGACATCAGTCCTTTCCAGGGGTGAGTGGGGAGAGCTGTTTTCATTTGTAAGGCCAGGTGGATTTGAAGACCTCACTTCTCTGCCCAAAGCAGCTCTGCCAACCCTGATGCACATCAGCACTTTTCTCTAGCATTATGCCTAAGTGGGCTCTCATCACACAGGGTACAGCTGGCATCTGAAACAGAGCACAGTGCAAGTACCAACAATTCCAGCTGTCCCCAGAGGCAGGCAGACATCACTATCAATGTAGGCCCTGCTTATGCTCTACAGGACTCCTCTCGCAGCTCCTCAGGCCATAGATTTATTTTCAGATGTAACCAGACTGGCAAGCACTGCACCTCAGAGAGAGCCAGAGCTCGGTGACTCAGGAGAAGAGACCAAGAGCTCAGCTCCCAGAGCTGGTATTTTAGATCCTCTCTACAACAAAACCCACAGAAGGACATTTGGGTCATCCAGTGTCTGTCTCCATCTCATCTTTCCAGGTGCTTCTGCTCTTTTTCTCCTTGTGCTCTGTCTCCTGGCTGATCTCTGCCTTGCCCTGGTTCCCTACCTGCCCCATTTGTTTTTATCTCACCTCTTTCAGGGTAGGACAGACTTCAAAGTGGAAGAGCCAAGAAAGGGAAAAGACTTCAAGTCCTACTGCCTCCCAGCAGTTCTTACATTTTTCATTTTCCCCCTCATTTCCTTATCCCACTTCCTATCTCTTACTTCAACACAGCCTCCAAAGTCTAGTTTTAAGCAGGGCTGCCCCCCCTGCCGTCTCCTCAGCCCTCAGGGAAAGGATATGCCAGAACATATCCCTTCTTCCTGAGACAGTCCCTGCTCACAGCCTCCCTCCTCCAGCTGCACTGCTCCATGCTCCTCTGCTAGCTCCTGCTGTCCTCTAGCAATGGGAACAGACAACAAAAGGGCAGTGCTGTCAGGCAAAGAGAAGGCTGAGGCTCAGAGACAGGAGGTAAAGCTCTTTTGGCTACTCCCCTTCCCTATTTCTGGCAACCAGCAGCACAGAGTACAACAGCTCCTATATTAATCACAGAATCTACAGTGATTTAGGCTGGAAGAAGTGTTAGAGATCATCTGCTTCCAAACCCTGCCATGGGCAGAGACACCTTCCACTAGAACAGGGTGTTCCAAGTCCCATCCATGTCTCCTCAGTCTTCCAGAAAGCAACAAGAGAAAAGATGGTGTTGCCACTGGTGACATAGATGAAGGAAGGTTGTCCAGACACTGCCACATCCTGGGCAGGGCTGTTTGTAGAGCTGAAGCCATCAGCCACAGTGGTGAACAGCACAAACACTCGAGCTGACACCAACCAGGCTTCAAGATCTTGCTGCAGCAGCTCCAAAGACATTTCACACCCAGCGCCTATTCCAAGCTGCTGCAGACACACAAACCAACTCTGTAATCAGGTCATGCTCTTCTGAGGACCTTCCAGGTTAACTGGGTTTTAAGAATAATTAAGTGCTGCAGAATAGAATACACCAGGTTGTCCAGATTAATCTGGACTGCAGGTTGGGAACTAGACAGTAGAGGCCAAATCATCCTGCCTTCTAAGTCATCTCAGGAGTATCTCCCTGGCCATGCTATCCTTGTGCGAGCTGTGACTCCATTATTCAACCTGACAGACTGTTGCAGAAACAAATGACACCCTTCAGCTGCAGCACCAGTGACTGATTTAAAGAGCAAACACATCACTGCCTTAACTGGTTCAGGAAGCAAGGATGACTTCATCTTGGTGACTGCTGGCCTGAGGACTGCCAGCAGCACCCACCAGCTCCAGAGGGTTTCCCTGGCACTCCAGGGAAGAATGAAAGACAGGAGCAGGGGCACTCACCTGTCTGAGCCATCCTTCATGTGGACTTTGGCATAAAGGACGTCTGTCATGGCAGGGTCATCATTCATGTACTCCACTCCTGCCACTTCCACTGTCAGAGGCTGGCCTCCAGTAATTTGGCTAAAACCCAAAAAAGCCCTAATGTTAAAAACCGAAACATTACACCAGCTCTTGAAATGCAACACACAGTGCTCCCCATGCACATTCTAAATATTTGGGTTTACTATGGGAATGAGATTATTCTTTTTGCCGTAGTGAGACACAAATTTGATGTTAAGTGGGACTTAAATGTTACACACAGGGCCTACGGAGCAGTGAACTCCACTCAGGAGTTCTTTTCTGTCCCTTATTTTTCAGCTTGTTTGCACTGCAAAAACCCAAACTCAAAAAGTAGCCCTAATTCATAAAACTCAAAAGCCTATAACTATTATTGCCTTATCACCCTGAGTGGTAAAAGAATTTAAATTCATATATTTGGTGTTTCAGACACACATTAAGTGAACTTGTCAGTGCTCACAGGCCACCTCAATATGGAGATCTCCATCCACATGCCAGAAAACCCACCAGAAGTAAATGGTTCAAGTTCTCATTCCAGAGAGGCTCCTGCCTCCCTGTGAAAAGACCAACCATAAAGTCTCTGATTTTTGCTGGGAAAGGTACTCGATACAGAACACAACTCTGAGTGCAACATCCAGCCAGTGAATAGAGCTGGTTTAAAATCAGCTCCAGCTCTTCATGGAGGATATAATATGCACTCCCACACCTGCAAACGGCCTGTAGAGTGTATCTGCTTCCCAATACACTGCCTCCTTGCTTTTCCCAGCAGAGCATCCTGGGGAGGCTGCTGCTGCTGCCAGCACTCCCTGTGAGTAAGTGATGCCTTGTTTAATACCCAGGGCCCGTGGAAAGAACAGGGAGTGTCTGGGCAGGCAGATGTAACAAACACAAGTTAACAAGATGAGTGTGACTTTGCTCTGACCTTGCTCACTTCTGTTCAGCTTTTGAGGTTCTCAGCAAAGATTCCCAAGTGAAATAAGCAGTGTGATTTCCCTCCCCAGTATAGTTACTGGGAGGGAAACAGCACAAATGTATTATTATGGACATAAAATTAACAGCACTAAAGGTCACATATTCTAAAAAGGGTCAGAAAGGTCATAGCTAACTTCACAGGACACTGCCTGCACTTTAAAAAAGGAAATGAAAGCTAATGAAGGTTTATGTAGGTGGAAGGGAGCCTAATTAATTTTCCAAGTATATTTACTTGGGTGTGGAAGGGGAAATAAACTAAAGGTTACCTTCAAGTGTTGATTCCCCCTTCACTAAAGGAAATAGGGAGCAATGATTTTCTCGGCATCAATTCAATCCACTTACGTGGAAGCTGGCACTTTCCAAATATTGCATTCAGAGCCTCCCCCTGGAAACACACTTGCATTTCTGTTCAACAGCTGAACTGGAGCCATCCTTTTAAAGGCAGAGGTATGAATTCTGGCCATGCATTAATTCCCACAGATATTAGCTGGCACAGCGTGGCCAATTCTTCATGCACCGAGGCAGCAAATAAATGAATGCGAAGGATCCGCGCTCTGTGTGCAAAGGCTTTGCAGAAATAAATAAATAAACCTCCCCCTCAGGCCATCTTCAATTACGAAGCTGACCGGAGATAAGCTAATTACGGTGTCACTGGACCACATTTGCAGCCAAAGACCAGCATCTGCAGCTCAGTGTTAACAGGCAGCGAGGCAGCCGCGCTCCCAGAGCAGCACGGACGCTTCCAGGCTGATTACTCACAAGGCTCCTGATGGCTTCCCTGCACACAGCTCCCCTCGTCCAGGAATGTGTGTCAAGGACACCTCAGCATCTGCTCTGAGGCAGGAGGGAAGTGCCAGAGGCAGAGCCCACTGCAGGCAGCGTGCAAAGGTAAGGGAGCTCAGCCCTCCCACTGCAGCAGGCAGGGGACAGCGACAAAAACTGCTCAGGTACAAAGAACAGGGACGCATGTGAGGAAGGGAGGTGAGCAGAGCAGGTTTTCAGGGAATGCCGAGGGTCTGAGCTGAGCTATAGATGCTGTAAGGCTCTCTGTGGCTGCTCAGGGATTTCTACTGCCCCATTTGAAACATTTCAGCCTTTTTCTAAATTTCCAGAGTTGAGAGAAGACTACTGAGCTGCTCTTCTCTTCACTGTTCCTTGTAAAGACAGAGTGCTGCCTTCCCCCCTCTCAAGGCCTTGGTGATGACATCCCTTTCCCACCACTTACTCCACAAAGTCCTCTTTGCATCGCTGCAGGAGGTCACAGGCTTTCTGGATCTCTTGCTCGTTCAGGAGCACCAGTGTCCCAAGAGTCAGGTGAAGCTTTGCAGGGTTCTGGAACAGGCTGCTGCTGACCCCATGATCCTAAAAATCAATCCATCACATAGAGGGGTCTTACCTCATCCACACACACAGGGATAAATACCACAGAAAGCAGGTACCAAGTCACTGGTATTAATCCTTTTATCTCTGGTCGGGTTGGTAATGACACAAAGTTGAAAATTTCTCAGGCTTTGTGAGGAGGCAAGCTTAGCCTGGCAGATGAGCTGCAGTCCCGTCACAGTTCCCTGCCTGCTCTTCCATCAGAGCTGTTGAACAGCAGCCTGGAAGATCATTACAACAGGCTGTAACTTGGTACCCAGGACCTGCAACACTCACTTGTGTGGGGTTTTTTGGGAGGAGACTTCCACAGGTGTTGACGCAGCATCTGCTACCAGAAATGAGCTCAACACAAGCCAGCTCAGGTTTAAAACTTCAGTCCATTTCTTGTGCAATAAAGCTGAGACCAGCTGTTGTGACAAGCTCTAAATGGTCTCTAAATCCTGTCTAACCACAGGTTGCACCTCACAACAGAGGTACAGCTAATACCAGCTCTGATAATTATATTTTTCTTCTTCTCATATGCCCTATAGTTTGCTGAGGTGAATTAAGTTTAAATTCCCTTTATAAGAAGAGCTGTGTGCTGCTGCTGGGGAGGAACTCTTCCCAGGTGGAGCGGTGGTTGCATCCAGCTTTACGAAATGTGCTATTCTGTTCTAGGATACTTTTAAAAATACCTCAAGGATGGTTAACACACCCATATTAAAGCAATTATTTCCACTTAGTGGCCACTTCCCAATCAGCGCATTAAATAACCTCCAATTTTAACTCCAGAAGAAGCCAAGCTGCCAGGCCATGGAAGCCTTTCTGCATCTGAAAAGAGTGCACCAGCTGAGAACAATAGCTTTGAAATTTCTACTGTGCTCCAGACTTTGAAATAAAACCCTTCAGACGTTTAAATGCTGCAGTATCTCAGCCTGTCAAGAGTTTCATGCCCTACATCTTGCTCAGCATTTTTCATGCCTAATGACCACATGCAGACCTTTCTTTACAGCACAGCTTATGGGCTGGACTAGGGACAAGGCAGGCTGCAAAACAGAGGCTAGGGGCTTGCTCCAGCAGCCACAGCTTAGCAAAAAACAGGGATGGCCCCATCTCACTTCTTCCTACCTTCCCCTCCCTGCAGCAAAAGCTTTGTGGCTTCCTTTAATTCATGCTGCTGCTCACATGCATGACAGGACATGATTGCTCTCTGTCAGCCTTTTTTCTCCAGTGATATCTGCAGTCAGGGAATTATTTGGCCCTTCACAAAACAACAGCTTGGGTAACAGAAACTGGGAGGTTTGATTTAACCTTGCCACAGACAACCAGCCGAGGTCACAGAGTGCACAGATGAGATACAGTAACAGCCCTTTGCAGGTCAGAAAGCCAAAGCCCTGCCCTCATTTTCTGCCCCAGTACAATTGGTGCTGTAAACATGACCCTGCCCCAAAAGCAGCATTTTCCCCTGAGGTTTTCAACACCTGAGTGTGGGCTGAGTTGACAAATGATGGCACGTCATCTCCACGAGCCACACTACTGCTGCTGGGGAGATCAACGGGGAAGAGAGCGAACAGTGAGCAGGCCAAGACCTAGATAATCCTCCTGGTTTACTCCCTAGTATTTCAGGCAGCTCCTCAAATCCCTGCTTACACTCCCTACTCTTTCACAGGCCAGCAGATCCCACTTCTCCCACACATAAAATAGATGCTGCGTCAGAGCTGGCTCCCTCTGAACAGCCAACGTTCCTGTGGGTGTCTCAGCAGCCCTTCCTGGCTGGATGCTGCTCACCAGGATACAAAAAGGCTGGAACTCAATTATTCTAATCCCAGATCATGATGTGCGATCAGCAATCACTGAATCACCTCACAGGAACCCGCCTATTGTCTCTACAAAAATTTACTGTGCAAACCTGGGCTCTTTAGCATGTATTGAGAGGCAGGAAGAATAATACCTTTAGGCACTATCCATATGTGATGACTGTCCTTTGTAGCTTATGCCTCTGCTTAACACTGCCCTGTCATGGTCAAAAAAAACCAACTCGTTTCCACTTGGTCATTTTTAATCCCTTCTGCTACCAAAGACTTCTTTAGAAGGAACAGAAAGGGTTTTATCTGGGGTCTCCAACTCTTTGCAAATCCCAAGTACGTTGTCCCTGCAAATCTAAGACCCTGTAGTAGGGAAACCATAAACCACAACACCCTTCAGCCCTCCTGCATGACAAGGCAAAGGATCAAGCTCCTTAGCTCTTCTGCCCTGGCTGTGTCCTCTCTTCTGTTTTAAGAGCTCCCAATGTTTGCAGACAGCTTTATGTTTTTCAGGTTTTTTTTTTCCTTAAGAGCAAGATACTGCATGCCAACTATGTGCCCTGTGCCACCCTGATCCACAAACAAAGGAGCGAGCCAGGAAAACAGTATTTGCACAGGATTATCTGAAGAGCTACAAGCTCAAAAACCCTCCCACTTTCTGTCCCTTCCACTCTGAGATAAAATACCTCATTAGCAATGTTTGATATTTACAGGTTGCCATATATGACAGCAATCATGTTTCTTTTCCCTGCTACATCTGCAGCCTATTCAGTCTGCAAACGCTGTGTTTGCACAGCTCTCAAAGACCCAACTGTGATTTTTCACAGCAATGATACTGCAAAGTCTCTTCCCTTTTCCACCTGCATGCTCAGACAGACATCTCAGTTCTCCTCACTCTATGACACCAACATGACAGCGAGAGAGAGGAGACTTCCAAGGTCATCCAGCCATCCGGACCTCCCACTGCACCACATCAGTGATGAGCCTGTCCAGGTGAGCCACCTCCCCATATTTAGATTAAATTAACCTAAAAGAACCTCCCCTCAGCCCTGCTTCATTTGCCTGCCAGCCCTGACTGTACAGCATGAACAACACCTGAAGTGTTCTGTATTTCAGCACAAGGTTTATCTTCAAAAAGCTTTTAAAGACACATACAAAAAAACTTAGAAAGCATATACTTACCAACAAAATGCTATAAAATATAAATGAATGGTTGTCATGGTAACTGCTTCCAAGAGAAACAGAGTCCCTCACAAATGCTCAATGGCCAGAAAAGATCCCCTCACACACACAACATACACACACACACACACCTGATTCTTTCCCTTCCTTACCATTATTATCCCTCATTCAAAGGCTGAAGTTCACCTAATTCTGTGATGTTTTGCACCAGGCAGAGAAACTCCCTGCTTCTGTCACTGAAACCTATTCAGATTTCCTCAAGTATTCGAGAAATCCCATTGCTTCGGACAAATCTAAGCTCTTTTATTGCTCTTGGAGGCACAGTTTTGAATTACTGTTTTTCATTACTGACATGCTTTCTAGCAGACCCTGCTGTGAGATAAAGTGGTATTAGAGTGGCATTACTGGCTGGAGGAGTGATTGAGAGACACACAGGGCTGCAATGTACTCCTCCAACTAACAGGAAGCAATAAATATATCTAGAAACCCTTTTGCTAATACCAGGAGAGGGAAGGGCAGAAAAATAAAGCATTATATATTCCTAGGCTAAGCATATGCAACCCCCTGAATACCTGTTACTGACCGAGTTCTATATTTCAAACTGAAAATTGAAACTCTAGAGCTGATGTAAGCAGTGCCAGGAACATTTCAGGCCCTTACAGGACTTGGAGCTGTCCAGACACAGAACAAAAATTGCAGGACAGACAGAAGGACAGGCAGGAGGAGGAAAGATGAACATGGCCAGTACTAGGTCTCAGCACTTCTCTGACCAAGGCTGGATTGCTGCAGTTTTCTGAGACAAGGAGCATGTGAAGGTTTGCAGGCAGCTCCTTCCAAATGTGACTGACAACACTTGAGGAATGCACAAAGTCTGTGAACATGTTTTTATGAAGATGGCAGACAACCTCCCTTCCCCCAGAGATGCAAACTGACATTTAAGAGTGAGCAAGAGAGAAACAATGTGACAGACAAGATCAGGAGGGGTTTGGAGAGCAAGCAAGATCACCAGTGGAGGCTGGGCCAATGGAGAGCTGCAGAGATGCAATCCAGCCAGGAGGCAGGAAAAATTAGTGCTCTGCAGGGAGAAGGGCTGGTCCTGGGTCAGTCTGTTGTGCTGTAGGATTAAAAACACTGGAGGAGAGCACGAACAACAGCATTGCCTGCAAAGATGGCTAAACCACACATCTTAGAAATTTGACACTGAAAGGACTTAGAGAGGTCCCTAGAACACTCATCCAACAGCAGGGCAGCCTGTAGCCAGAAGCCAGCAGGTGGTATGGGATACACTGATGTTACTGCAGCAGGCAAGGCCATAGGGAGGGACCACAGAGATCCACAGGACCTGCTGGCAGACAGCTAGAGGAGGAGGACCAAATACATGGAGCCCAGGATGCCAAGTCTTCAGGCAGAGCAGGACCAGATCTCCAGGAAGGCCAAGTGAAAGGACTGTAGCAGCCATAAGCCCAGGCAGAAAGGGATAAAGGGCAAGAGAAAGCCCATTCTGAGAGCAGCAGCCTCACTCCAGAGCCAATGGCACAAGAAGCCTCTACAGAGCCCTGTGCAGATCACCAGCCCCTCAAAGAGCTGCTTCTCTCACTGTACCTTGGTGTGTCCCACACAAGGACTTGAACTAGAAACCAACAGAGGGAGCCAGGCCATCACTGATGCCAGCCCGAGGTCCCAACTCTGTCCAGCCTACACCTTCCCAGGCTAATGTTTCCATCCCCCTGCCTGCAGGGCATTCGTTTAATCAAGGTGAGCTTTAATAAAGGTAGTACTGCTGGCTAATGAGGAGAGATCATCCTCCTAGCCCGAGGGAAGAGTTCTCCTGGCATTGCACTGGCTAATCCCTGGAACTGTTGGCCAATTTCAGTTGTATTTAATGTCAGGTGATAGAAAGCTCCTAAATTGTCAAGGAATTAAGCAGCTGGGAGGAGAACAGGAGTTTAAGTCCCGACTGCCAGGAAAGACAAGACTGCAAAGACAGCTCATTGCTGCTCTTGGAGATGAAACAGCTGACATGCAAGTGACCATGAGAACTTGAGCAAGAATTTGTATCTCCCCAGATATCAGATAATTCACACCCATGGTATGAAGATATACGAAACTAAACTTCTTAAGCTGTGCTATCTGCAAGGTTGTATTTTCCCCTTAGCAAGGCACCAGAAGAAGTGATGGACATGAAAGTGAAGAGTATCAGCCCACAGAGCCCTGCAGTGTGTCTGCAATGCAACCTGCATTGCACAGACCTCTCTCCTGCCCAGGGATGTCCTGCAGCAGACACAGAGGACATGGCAATTTAATAACACCATTCCCTCTCCTCAGCTCAACCCTGTGCACTGACACACCACTTCTGGCAGCCCAGCAGCACACTAAAATAAGCCAGAGAATGCAGAGCTTTCCCTTCATTTTCTTCCTCATTTCCCTATGCCTAACTATTTCCTGCTCCTCCCAACACAAGATCTGAAGGCAAGTAGGAGTGCTGTCAGCACAAAGTCTCCTGGGGAAGAAGGGAAGTGATGAGATTTGCAGGATGGCATGTGCTACCAAGTCATTTCTTGCTCAGCTCTGGCAATGACACCCATCTTCCTTCACTGTCAGGAGCCAAAAGAAAAGTGAAACAGAAGCAGCAGCAAATTTGTAAATTCCTACCTAACTTCATGTTATGTAAAAATAATATAAAATGTCGACAGGTCCACTACATTATTTAGTGAGTTTCCCATTAAAAACAAAAATCCCAACCCTCTTTTGAAACTTAGCGTATTGTTAGCAGAGATTTTTCTGGATGGGAGGATAGCTAAGTAAACCATTCCACTTTTCAGAAAATTTCACAAAAGCACTCAACAGATTCCCAGCAGATCCACCAACTTAAGTAAAAGGCCTATTGAAAATGCACTCCTAGGAAACAGAATAGAATAAGGCCTTCAAGGAAAATGCCAAAGAGCTCTGTCAATAAATGAAACAGCACTCTAATCCTCACATGGATCCCTACCTTTGAGCACTTCTCCAGCACCTCCTCCTTGAACTGCAGGAACTTTTCCTGGATGGCAGGCTGGTTGAGAGCCAAGGACAGGAAGTGTGTGAAGGGCTGCTTCTTGCGGAAGCTGTCCAGGAGCACATCGATCCGCGTCCGGGCAGAGACAACACCGCTCCGCTGCTGCCCCGTGATCACTGCAGGGACACACAGCAACACCTCTCTGCTTTCCTGAAGCTCTCAGCTTTTACTCTCAGCCTCCCAAGGAAGCAGTAGGAATCAAAATCCCCAACCATGCACTGAAAAACCTGCCAGACTCCCTGCTTGACTGAAAATGTCGGCTACAGCTGTGCTTTCCTCAGCAAAGACAGGATGATGCCATCAAAAGCATCCATCCCTCTGCTGTCCAGAAAGTCAGTTCTGAGGGCATAAAAAGAGTAACTGAGAGCCCATCAGTTCAGGGACCCTTCAGATATCTAGAACATAATTTCAAGTTTTCATATAGGCAGAGTAAAAAGGGCAAGGAAATCTTATGAAGGATCAAGACTGTGTTATTTGCGCATGCACTTCAAGGCACCAAACAGAGAACACTTCAGCTCAAAAGGAAAGAACAGCAAGGATCAAAATCTTCTTGGCTTCCTATTATTCAATGTTTTCAACATCTCTCAACCTTCCTCACAGTCCTTCACAGTTCTTGGGAAGAAGTCAAGACCCACTTGAGAAGCACCACCATGTTCCTGTGCAGCATCACAGTGGGATCCTCCCAGCATTTCCTCCTCACAGCTCTGTCACAAACATCCCTGCGCCAGTAATCTCCGGAGCATGCCCTAAGGAACCCTCCAAATACCCACTCTGGCAGCACTCACAAGGCTCAGCCCTGATGAGCAAGGTCCCCTTTCTTTTTAAATCCCTGGAAGTGATGAGAGGGAACATATGGTACAAGAAGCCCTGCTCTCACTGTTTGGATCTAGTGACAGCAAATGTCATCTCAACCCTTCTCATATTAAAGCATGTGCAGATGTTTATTTTGCACACAGATAGACAAGATATTTCTCTGAATGCTTATTTTAGTTTCTTATTGATGGAATAGTATTTTAAAAGCAAAACTAAAAAAAAAAAAAATACAACACATTCAGGACCCAAGTTCTCAAGCCATTTAAAGGCCTAGAAGTGACTTTAAAAAAAAACCAAAAAACTGACACTGTTTAATAAGGATTTACACACAATAAAAATAAGCTCAGGAGAAAAGTGAAGTGAAGACTTTCCCAGGGCCAAAAAGTGAGTCAGTGCTGTGTAAGGAGTAGGAATTAAAGAGAAAACACCTCCAGTACCCCCTCCCTGCTTAAACCGTGCTTGTGCAAGAGCAGATAAAAGCACATCCATTTTGTGTATGCTACTCACCAATTTCTCCTTCTACTCCAGGTTTGGGAATGCTGATGGAGGTTCGAGTCTCTGTTTCTAGCCTCTTCTTGGTCTCCCCTTTCTTCCCAATGATGTACCTGGAGGCAGAAAGTACAAGAGTTTCCCTCACACAGTGACAGTGAGCCACTCTCCATCACGTGTGTCCAGACCTGGACCCTCTGTGCTGGAGGGATGCACACACCCAGCTCCACATGCAGGACCACATCCAGGCACAGAGGTGATTCCCAGGACTCCACACATGTCCAGCCTGGGACAATGCTGAGCTATGGCTCACAACTGGCTTAAGCTAAAATAAGTTGGTAGGTCCACAACGTCCTGCCACAGCCTCTCTGTCAGCTGCGTTAATCTCTTTTCCCTTTATCCCAGCTGAGAAAAGAAGGGCTCTATTTCAGCTTTTTGCTTTGCTCAAGGTAGTCATTTACCAGCATCCAAATACACAATGGACCACTTTTTCATCTCTGTATTTCAGAAAAACTATCTAACTAATAAAACTGTCAAAAATAACTAGATGAAACTTTGAACACTACAGGTTCTCCAGTAAACAAGGGACTGGAGTCAACAGCCAATTCCAGTTGTGTGTGCTTTCTCTGAAAGCTCCCACAAACTCTCCCCACCAGGCTGCTCGCTCCAGTTCTTCCTCCCCTTCCTTCTCCCATCCTCCTCGATGCTTTTATGTTCAAGGCAAGAGATGTTCAAAGAATCTCCTGCCAGCCAGCAAGCACCACCTGCTGTCCCTACCACGGGGACGGTGAGGAGTCAAGTGAGGCTCAACTGCACCAGAAAGGCATTGCCAATTTCCCCTTCCCCAGCACTCCAACCCAGAGCACAGAGTACATCCCAGAGATCCAGCGCTCACCCCAACCTCCAAAAATAAATATTCTGTGCTCAACTTCTTCCCCAGCTGGCGGCAAATCAAATAAACCAAAGCAGACAGGCTCACTTGTACAAGGGGCTGGGAACGTCCAGCCGGCACTGGAAGCCTCGCTCGGTCTCCTCCACCACAAAGGCATCGCAGGGTTCATCCACACAGTCACCAGGGCCTACGAGGAAAACCACATCAGGCCCTGCACAACCTCTGTGAAGTCTGGCAGTGCTTTATGGATGACAACAGTCTCCTCCTAGCCTTCTTCCAAGGTTAAATGAAGGAAGGAATGGGCTTCTCTCTGCTCTGGATAACTGCTTTTTATTTATCACCTCACTCACTACCAGCCCCAGAACACATAATGACAGCTTCTAAATCCAGCCGGCACAAGAAGCAGGTAGTTACAAACCAGGGCTTTTCTCAGCTGGAGTTTGTGCAATTCCCACACAGTGGGAATGGTCTCTTCTGGCAGCCAATTTCAGAAATTTAAGGCTGCAGAAGACAGATAAAAGGTGAGGGGAGTTTTGGTCAGAGGGTTCAAGCCAGTGATTCAGAAACAGGCTCAGAGGAATAGATGCACCTTTCATCCACAGGCTGCTCAGTCATGCACGGATCAAACAGAACACCTTGAAAGAATCCATGCTTCCTATTCCATTTCCAACACGAGCAGGGATGAATTTGAACAGAAAGCATCTGGTTAAAGCTTAGTGCAACCACTGAAAGGCAAGGTGGGAGGAGAAACAGGACACAACTGCCACATTCTCTTCTGAAAACTAACAGTGGAGCTTTTCTGTGCCCACAACTTACACGTAACTACAGCAAACATGCAGGCAAGAAGTCAAAGTAAAGCACACCAGAACAGGAAGAATTTGGTCCCCAAAATAGGTAACACCTTCCAAAGACCAGTTTTAAAGGCACAAACATTGCAAGGACAGAGGGTCTTTAGCAAGCAGCTTCCATATCTGCAAATAAAGATGGTAAGGAAAAGAAAGAAACCTGGGAAAAACAGATCTACAGAGCTACACTGGTTTTCTCTTTTCCTGGAGTTCTTCCACAATCAGCAGGAAAACTGAACAGTCAGCAGCACAGTCAACCAACCCACTTGGGATAACTGGGACTGTGTTTTTCTCTCTCTTGAACACCTCCATCTGCCACATGGGCAGGTCTCTGCACTCACAAAGGCATCAGACACAACTCTGAGAGGTCCCTAGGTCCCCAGTGTTGATGTTTACACCTCCTGAGCATCCTTACCTGCACAGAAGTCCTCCTCCTCCTCGTGTGGGAAGGCCTGCTCTTGGATGAGATTTTTCCGGTACACTCGCCCCCCGATCCTTATCAAGGGGGGCCGCAGCACATCCATCCTGCTCCTCCTCCTACTGCAACAACAAAGACAGCTGTGCTAACCCAGGCCAAGGAAAAGCTATTTCAGTGTTTCCTTGCACACTGGGTTGGCAAGGACCTTAAAGCTCAGCTCATTCCAACGCCCTGCCATGGGCAGGGGCACCTTCCACCATCCCAGGTTGCTCTGATGGGGCAGCAACAGCTTCTGTGAGCAACGTGTGCCAGGGCCTTGGCATCCTCATAGGAGAACAATTTCTTTCTAAAATTCAATCTCAGCCTCCCCTCCTTGTGCTAAAAGTATTAAGAAAGGCAACATCTCCTCAAATGTTATGTGTCTCAATCAAAGAGCAATTTGATGAGAAGTCACAAGTAAGTAAAGCACAATCAAGTGGAAACAGGAAATTTAAGCAGGGTAAGGTATGTAACTCTGAAACTCACAGCTTTCAGCTAAAAGTCACTGTAATCTCAGTCAATGTGACATTTCAAAGTTTCTTTAGCTGGTTCTGAGTTAAAAATGTTTAGAGTGGAGAACATCTAATGGTGCTAAAACAAAGAGCCAGCAGTGATCTGTCAGGGACTTCACATCTCCAACACTTGAATTTCTATATTCACTGGTGTGAAAAACACTTTTGTTAAAATTTTAGAAGTTTAATAGTAATGAAGATCAGGACAATAAGAGATGATAAAAGGTTAAGAATTATGGATGTCTGGGTGCCTGGCACTCTGCCACAAAGCACACCTTGCTAACAAAGGATTACTCTTTAAAAGCAATAGCCTATTGCATATTCATATATCTCATACATGATTTAAATACTCCTTTTAAACTAAGGTGTTTCTGCTTAATTTAATTTCACCCCCTCATTTTGTAAAAAAATTTTCTTGGTTCTTCAAAGTCTAAGTTTTTCTGATAAGGAGATATTAATTAGTTTCTTGGGATCTTGGTGTCAGTTGTTATTTTTATATAGATAGGATAATATGAAGTATTTATTGATTATTTTTTCTATTCTTTGAGTTAGTTATAAAAAGTATCTTACATCACATAGTTTCTATTTTAATATTATGCTATAGCCTAAAAACTGAATTTACTACATTACTTAAAAGAGATTAATACAGCATAACTTTATAACATAACACATATATAGTATTCCTTTTAATATTTGTGAAAAGTCAATATCGTAATATGTATTTATAACAATTGGCATGGTTAATTTAATATTGGTTGTCTCAATTTTAAACCAGCATCTGCTACTCAGAAAATATAGTTTCCAAGAAAAAAATCACCTTTGTCAGAAGGTTTACCTATCCACTGCAACAGAACAGGAAAAAATAAGAGCTTGCCTCAGAAGCAACTAGTGTGTATCACAGAGTGACATCAGGTTGAGAAGGTTAATACTTCTCTCCTCAGTTCGAGCCCCACCTTTTAAAATGACTCACAACCATCTGAACTTAGACGGATAATAAAAAACATTACACTTCAACAAAAGCAGTAATTCCCGTGGCTCAAGGGAAGAAGTGCAGAGGTCAACTGTGCGCAATGACGGAAAATCCATGAAAATCAGTCGCTGGGGCTTTTGCTTCCACGCAGGCTTTTCTTGGGGAGTTATGTTTTTAACACATCGGTGTCACAATTTCTTGACACAAGGACTTCTGCAAAGTGCGCAGCACCAGCGGGAGGCAGAGCGCAGCTGGGGCTGCAGCCTTGGGCCGGGTCCGGCTCCCGACGGCAGCATCCAGAAGGGCTCCGCGGGAACCAACCCCAGGCCACCAGGGAGGGCGGCAGGGGCACCGGCAGGCTCCGCACCGTGCGAATTCCCGGGGCGCCGAGGGTACCGCAGCAATACAGCCCCTCGGCGTTACACCGGCACCCCTGCGGGAAGGCGGCGGGAGCAGCGAAGTGCGGCCGTACACCCGCGGCTGCCGCCGCCATTTTGTTCCCGCTCCCCCCAGCCCCGCTCCCCTCACGCGTCCCGCCGGAAGTGCCGCGCGCCCCGCCCCGTCATGCACCGCGAGCGCGGCCAGGCGTGCCGCCCGCACCGAGCCGCCGTCCGGGCTGCCAGGTGAGAGAGGAGAGAGGGTTCGGCACGGCACCGGGGAGCGCCGGGAGGCGGCGGCGGCCCGGAAGGTGAAGGGCGGCGGCACGAGCGCGCGGGGAGGGCGGAGGCGGCGGCGGCGGCGCGTGGGCTCCGCACTCACCGCGAAGCGGCTCGGAGGGGCCATGGCCGGCAGGGCGGGGAGGAGGCGTGGCCAGCATGGGGGCGTGGCAATGACATCATTGGGGGCGTGGCCTCGCATGGGCGGGAGCGCGGGCTCCCCGCCCCCCCAAGATGGCGGCTCCTGAGGCGCCTGAGGCGTCGGCCGGAGGTTGCTGTAACAGGCCCAGGCATCGCCCTGACCTGCCGCCTCCTCTCCTCTGTGTTTGTTTAAAATAAATCCCCTGCAGCCACGCTTAGGAATCTGTCGGGTCTGCGAGCCCCGGCTGGCACAGGTTCAGCGCAAACGATCGTCGCACCTCCCTTGCGAGCAGGGAGCTGAGCCTGAGGGTTTGATGAGGGAGGTGTTGCTGCGTGTAGCGTAGCAAAAATAAAAGTGTGTTTTATGCAGGCGTTTTTCATCACGGCCTGTAAGCCCCGAGCTTCCTGTGAGCTGCTGTTTTCTGTGTTACACACAGTTACCTTGAGCACTCTTGGGAAACTTAATTACAAGGGACAGAGGTACTGGGCAAGGGGAATGGCTTCCCGCTGACAGAGCGCAGGGTTAGGTGGGATATTGGGAAGAAATTATTCCCTGTGACCCCCTGGTGCAGGCTGCCCAGAGGAGCTGTGGCTGTCTAATATCTGTAAGTGTCCAAGGCCAGGCTGGATGGGGCTTGGAGCACCCTGGGATAGTGGAAGGTGTCCCTGCCCATGGCAGGGGGTGGAATGAGATGAGCTTTGAGGTCTTAAAACCCCATTTTATCCACAAAACCCTCAAGTGCTTTCCAAGGGCACTGTCTGTGTACCCTACAGAGCCTGCAGTAGTGTACTACATATGATAACAAAAATGAATTAAATGGGCAGGATAATTTGGAAGTGCTTATAAATATTTGGAGGAGCAGCAAGTGCTGTCACTGATAAGAGCCAAGCGACACCTTTTGTACTATCAGAGAGAGACGTAAGGAGTTTTAATTCCCGTGTCATGACAAGCCCAGTACCTCTTAAAAACAAGGCTGAGAAGGGAGCGTGCAAGAGGCAGCTGTAATTGTGCTGCACAGGCAGATGGATCCTCAGGCACTGCCAGTTTAGGTCAAACACAGTGTTTGAAAGGCAAAAGCACGTCTGGAGCGATGCAGAAAGCAGCTGCTGTGGGTTAGGCACGGCGTGGCTCCGTGCAGGATGCGGCGCTGGGACTGGCAGTCCCACGGCCTTCCAGATTTTATGAGGCAGCAGGGCTTCTATGTTTGTGCTCCTGGAAACAAGGAGGAAAAAAGCAAAGGAACCCTGCCTTTTATGACCCCGGGGAGCAGGACAAGCACCAGGGCAGCTAAAGGCCGGTGAATTCAGGCCAGCAACCTGTACCTCGTTATTCTTGTGCACCCTCTGGATGAATTCCCAGGGGAATTCTGAGGGGTCGGAGCCGGGGTTACCTTCAGTTCCATCCCCACAGTGGGCACAGGCAGCTCTCCCACACACACAGGGCAGCCTGGACGCTCTGGGCAGCGGGGGCGGCTTCATCCTGCCCCTCACTGCCCTGTCTGTCCTCAGAGGCGTGTGGCTGCTGGCCCTGCGCCCTGGGGAACTCCGAGATGCCCTTCCTAACTCAGGCTCTGCTCTTTGTCCTTCCAGGCTGGGCCGGGGTGCAATGGCAGCCTCCTCCTCGTCCTCCTCGGCCGGCGGAGTCAGTGGGAGCTCCGTGACAGGGTCGGGGTTCAGCGTTTCGGACCTGGCGCCGCCCCGGAAAGCCCTCTTCACTTATCCCAAGGGAGCTGGGGAGATGCTGGAAGGTGATTGCTGCTGCTCTTCTCCTTCCCCACTCCTCCTCCAGTCGCTGAACTTCTCACCCCACTGGCAAAAGCTGGGGGTAGAAAGGAAGCACTGTAGTTTGGTTGATCCCGGCTATCCCACCAGTTGTTGAGGAGGAAGTGATTTTTCTGGCAGTCACCTGCTTTTTATCTCCACGACAACACAGAACAGGAAGAATCTACCTGAAAGGGAGCATGACGGTGTTAATTGTTCATTGTTAGCTAATCCTTTGATGTCAGGCAGGGATTGCTGCGAGGATAGCTGAGACAGGCGTATTTTTCTTGGCAGAAGTAGTAATATTCTTGGTTTGGGTTGGATTTGTCTGGGTTAGTCCAGGAGGCAGCTTGTCTCCCTGCCAGCTTGTCTCCGGGTGCCTGAGCCCTGCCACCAGCTTCATCGGGATTGTGGAAGGAGAAGCCCAGCAAGCTCTGGGTGAGGGAGGAAGGGCAGGTCCTCTAGGTGACAGGGTTAAACCAGCATCTCTCTGTCTGCTGCCCTTGAACCTCCCTTGTCACTGTGGGATGGCAGGGACTGAGGCTGGAGTGTCCCTGTGGCAGCACAGGACAGCTGGGAATTGAGTGCTGTGCCATTGAAGGGTTGTTTTTATTACACATTAGAGCCCATATGCCAGGCTATTGAAGTAATTATGACTAAAGGTTTGCTCACAGAACTTAACGAGCCATCAAAACAAATTAAAGTAATGAAGCACTTCGTGTTACCAAATAGACAGGCAGCTGTTCCTCCTGAGAGCCACTCGGCAGGACAGACAGGGAGTTGGAGGAGAGAATCCAACATTTAGGCTGGAAAAGGCCTTCAAGACCATCGAGTCCAGCCTGTGACCGATCCCCACTTTGTCAACAGCACCAGAGCACTGGGTGCCACGTCCAGTTGTTCCTTGCACACCACCAGGGACAGTGACTCCACCGCCTACCTGGACAGCCCCTTCCAATGTTTTTTCCATGAAAAAATTCTTGCTGGTGTCTCCACGATGTATTTGGGGCAGCACTTCTAAGAGGAAGCTCTGAGCATGGTGAAACTATAGTTCTTCCCTGGGGTTCAGCTTTGGATTCGATTTTTTCAGAGTTTTGTCTTTGAAACTGCTCTCCACATTGTTATGGCACAGAGCTTTAAATGGATTGTGCTTTGGGCTGACCTCTTTACCAGGAACACAGCAGTTCGCCTGCTCTGGGTGGCAGCAGCAACCAAACACTGTCCCTATTGCAGGAAGCTCTAGGTTGGCTTTTGAATTTCTGACACCAAAAGGGATACACTCGTTCTTTCATCAGGCAGCTGCCTGTGGAGAAGTTACAGTTTCCTCTTCAAAAATTCCCACTGACTGATTGATTTTTATTGCTACTTTAGTTATCTTGCTTGTTTCTAAATAAACCTGTAGGTATTTTGGGGTTTTTTAGAAGGAGTCAGTATAAACTATGTCAGTGCTTGGTACACAATTAGCTATGTTTTCCAGATTGCTTTATTTCTGAGTCACTTGCATGATCAATTACCGACTTGGATGGCAAAGATAAACATTATTTGAAACTCTGTGCAGGGTTATGGTCTGAGCCCGTGGGAAATCCTAAAGCATTCTAAGGACACGAGTGTCTGAGCCCTGAGGGAATCAGAGACAGCCATAACATTACCTGGCTTCTCCTTTAACTTCTATTTAAAATGGACTAAAATTGCTTGTCAGAGGGGATGTAACAGAATTCCACCTGGCATGTCTTCCCAGGCAGCATCAGGAACCAGCCAAAGCCCTGCCCAGGGACACAGGGGCTGCGGTCAGCACAGGGGAAGCTCCTGGAATGAGGCAAGGGGAAGCCCACACCTCAAACATAAAAATAGGAGGTCAGGGGCACTGAAGGCTGCTCAGCCTCAAACTCTGGGGTTCAACCATCTCCCTTTTTATGTTTACAGATGGCTCTGAGAGGTTCCTCTGCGAGTCTGTGTTCAGCTTTCAGGTTGCGTCAACATTAAAGCAAGTGAAGCACGGTAAGCACAGGCCGCGTGTGGCTCGGGGAAGGCGGCGGGGGCAAAGCCTGACTTGCTCTGGGGTGGCAGCCACAAGAAAGCAGAGTGAACGCTAAGTCAGGCCACCACTGAGTCCTTTTGCAAGCTCTATGCAAAGCGCCAGGAGCCCACAGGCGGGGTGGGAACAGGCTGTGCCTCCTGAAGCTTGTTTTTCCTTGGCTGTGTGGCAGGACAAGGTGAGGCCGGAGGAGGAGGTTCTGGGCAGGAAACGCCCACGCTCTGATCTCGGCCCAGCGCTGACTGTCTCTCTGGCCTGGGGCAGAGGGACGCTCCATTCCACCTTTGTTTCTCTGCTGAGCCTTTGTGGCCCTGGCAGGGTCAAGTCAGGTTTCCAGAGTCACTCTGGAGGTGGCCACGCGTGGTGTGGCGTGACAGGGCTGAGCACACTCCCTGCCTCCCCAGGGAACAGCCTGACGTCCTGTTTGAACCTCTGCTTCCCTGCCAGGCCCTTTGCCCTCACCCAGGTGCCTGTGACCCAGCGATGGGCTTGGCTGCGTCACAGCCGTGGTTCTCACAGAGCCCAGCAGCAGATCCTGTCTGCTGCTTGAGGGTCACATCCTTTCTGGTCCCCGCCTCTCGTCTGCCAGAATGGTACTTCCACCTGTTGTCTCTGAGTGGAGAGGTTTCCTGTCCTGCTCCGGCTGTGG